TTCATGCTGGAGCTCAAGGGCGACATCTGCTGGATCAAAACATCACATATAAAGACTTTAAGATTCTGTCATCATGACAATACACCTGTGTGTGTGTGTGTGTGTGTGCGTGTGTGCATGCGTGCGTACGTCCTTGGTGCAGGTGGCGGGTCGTAAAGGTTTCCCTCATGTGATCTACGCTCGTCTGTGGCGTTGGCCCGACCTCCATAAGAACGAACTCAAACACGTGAAGTTCTGTCAGTTTGCCTTCGACCTGAAGTACGACAGCGTGTGTGTGAACCCCTACCACTATGAGAGGGTGGTGACCCCCCCCTCAGCAGGTAACACACACACACACACACACACACACACACACACACACACACACACACACACACATACACACACATACACACACACACACTCTGATTTTCATCTATCAGCTGTTATCTGTTCTCTGTCTTCCTTCAGGTCCTCAGTCGTTGATTAAAGAGGAGTACATGCAGGACTGTCTGCAGATCGACCTGCCCCCCCACACTGACCCCTACAGCCAGCCCCGCCCTCTCAGCATGTACTCCAACATGCCCCTCTCTCCCCCAGGTCAGACTGTGGTACTACACATGCTCTACAGGAGCTCTTTCAAAATGACCTCCAGAGTCAGACGCTGTAAAAACTCTTTTATCCTTCATATCATAAACGTGCAGGTTGACTTATTCATGATGTAAACAAAGAGAGGAGAGGATCATCACTCCCTCTGTCAGATGAAAGGTCTTAATGTCTTCATGCTGTTTCTCCTGCAGGAAGCAGCTCCATGCAGGCTGCAGCTCTACCAGCAGGGGGCGCCGCAGGCTGCAGCAGAGCAGGGGGCGGGGCTGGGGGCGGAGTCAGGAGCAATGGCTCAGGCCTACTTCAGATCACCTCTCCTCAGAACCACGGAAGCCACGCCTCCCCACCTCACCCGAACCCCCCTCACACCCCCCAGCCTCCTCACCCTCCAACACCCACCTCCCCTCACCCACTGAGCCCCGAGTACAGCAGCCCCCCCAGACCTGGTACTGACCCTGACCTGTGCTCACCTGAGGTCATGTGACTGAGCAGCAGCAGAAACAGAGATAGAGTAGAAGAAGACTCATCAGAGAGAGAGACGTTAACACAGTTAATATCACTAGTGACACTTTTTAAAGAGACAGTTCCACATTTTTGAGGGTTGTATGAAGTACTTAGTGAATGTTTTTGCCACCGGAGATGTAGGTCAGCTCAGATACTTTCAGGAGAGACCGACAGGAGGGCAGGCAGAGAAGCTGGGCTACACGGCGATGCAATTTATCAAACTGTAAGAAAACCCGAACTTTATAGTGTAACAACTCATCCTGAATTCTGCATCTCAGTTAGAGATCGTCTGAAGCAACAGAAGTTTAAAGGTTGTCCATCTGACGCAGGGATGAATATGAAGAAGTGTAAAAACATCAGCGCTCAGTACAGCAGGGAGCACTGCATGGTGAGTGCTTGGAAAGGGGCGGAGTCTTCTATTAGGACCACTATGGTAGAAGAGTTATAGAGAACCAATGAAGAAGAAGGAGCCATATTTAAATCAAGAAGAAATAGAACGAGTGATCTATAAGAATCAGTCCCTCTGCACCTTTAAGAAAAAGCTAAAGACCCAGCTCTTTCATGAATACCTACTAACTTAATGATGATGGTCTCCATATTATTGATGATGATGATGGTAATGACGATGGTTTTTGTTTGATAACGACGACTTATAAGATGGTTTCTATACTGATTAGAGCTCTCAAGAACTGCCCTCAATGTTGTGCTTTGCCTCTGGTCACTTCCTGTCAGCACCTGTGTGTCCAATCAGACTCAAAGCTGATCGTTTGCTCTTACTGACATTGTTCCCTTTTTTCTAGATCCTTGCTTGTGTTGTTCTTACTCTCTGATGTACGTCGCTTTGGATAAAAGAGTCTGATAAGTGAAATGTAGTATCAGAGGATGCAACTGAAGTTGTAACAAGTGTTGAACATAAAGCTGAAGGTGTGTCTGGTTCTATCCTGTTTGTCTCTGCAGCCACCTGGCCAGCTAATGGCCCCGCCCCCTACAGCCCAGCAGGACCTCATCAGAATGGGAGGAGCCACCAGCATCAGCCATTGCATCATCCCCAACATCACCACGCCCCCAACACTCACTTCTGTATGACATCATGTGACCTTCAAATACCGTTACTGTCAGTTCTGTCTTTCAATGTGACTGAGTCGTTTGTCCTGCAGGGTCTCAACACCACAGCACTGCTCCCTATCCACAACCCGTCTCCAACCATCCAGGTACCACACCTGTCCAAACCCCTCCTCAGGTGGTCCCCCCTGACTGTGCTGGACTGTCTCACGCTGTCTTGTCTGTCTCTCAGGTCCAGAGTTCTGGTGCTCCATCTCGTACTTTGAGTTGGATGTTCAGGTGGGAGAGATGTTTAAGGTCCCGTCCAGCTGTCCTCAGGTGACGGTGGACGGTTATGTGGATCCTTCAGGAGGGGACAGATTCTGTTTGGGACAGCTGAGCAACGTCCACCGCACCGCCACCAGCCACCGCGCCAGGTCACCAGTCGATCGTCTGAACTGCAGCAGTCTGTCTCTTTTTATTCACTTCATCAACTCATTCTTCTTCTGCATATTCTTTTCCTGCAGGCTCCACATCGGTCGGGGGGTTCAGCTCGAGTGTCGGGGGGAGGGGGACATCTGGATGCGTTGCCTTAGCGACCACTCAGTGTTTGTGCAGAGCTTCTACCTGGACCGTGAGGCGGGTCGAGTGCCGGGAGACGGGGTTCATAAGATCTACCCCGGAGCTTATATCAAGGTGAGTCAGTATGCAGACGACACTCTGTTGTTCATATGTATTCAAAAATATAACAAATGAAAAAGATACTACAAATGCTTAGACAAAAGAGTCCACTTGACAGCCCCTTAAAATACTTTTATCTCTGTCAGTTAAAGATCAGGAAATTATTTTTTTATTAATGGTTGTGCATCCTGCCCTCATTTTCCCCTGAGCAGTAAATCTTTGTATTTCTGAGTCTGAAAAGGAGCCTTCAGTGACGCAAAATGCCCATTTTTGCGTCACTGGAAGTACAACGCAAACTACAACGCTAGTTCCTCATATTTTTGACCACTGAAGACCAATCACAGATCAGTGGGTGGAAACTCACTCCCAGAATCGAAACTTAACGTCCGCCATATTGCTTTGAAGCTATGCTAACAGGCTCTATGGAGAAAGCTGATATGGCTGATATGGCGACAGATTATGTCTCTAATCTGTCTGTCTCTCACCCGTCTGTGTCTCACCTGTCTGTCTCTCACCTGTCTGTCTTTAATCTGTTTGTCTCTCTCACCTGTCTGTCTCTCACCTGTCTGTCTCTGTAGGTGTTCGACCTGCGGCAGTGTCACAGACAGATGCAGCAGCAGGCGGCAGCGGCTCAGGCAGCAGTCGTCACTCAGGCGGCGGCGGTTGCCGGTGCAATTCCTGGGCCGAACAGTGTGGGTGGGATCGCACCTGCTGTCAGTGAGTATCACCTGTATGTGTATCACCTGTAGGTGTATCACCTGTATGTCTCTCAGCTCTCACTCACATTAATTCAGGGAAGAAAAACAGAACGTTTTGGATCAGAACTCTGTTTATTAATCTGAAGTTGTTCCTACCTTTAAGACCAGGTGACATGGTCGTGACTTCCTGTCTCTGCAGGTGTTTGCTCGACTGCAGGTCTAGGAGTGGACGACCTGCGCAGGTTGTGTATCATCCGTCTGAGCTTCGTTAAAGGGTGGGGCTGTGATTACCCGCGTCAGAGCATCAAGGACACCCCCTGCTGGCTGGAGGTTCACCTGCACCGAGCGCTGCAGCTTCTCGACCAGGTGCTGCACACACTGCCGCCACGGGAACACACACTCTGACCCTCTGCTACAGGTGTGTGTTCTCTGCAAGGTGGGTGGGGCTTAGCTCACAGGAGAGCCAATGGTAGCAGAGGATATAAACGTACCTTTTGAGACAGCATCACCTTAACTTTCTACCTGACACCACCTGATTCATAAGCTCCGCCCATTCCGTCCTCCCTCACACAGGTGTGAAAATCATTGGTCACTTTAGAAACACTTCAGACAATCAGCCAATCACAGCATCACATTCCTCCTGTCATTCATGTGTGTTTCCATAGAAACCAGCAGTTTCAGAGTAAAGGTTGAGTTCACAGAAAACCTGAAAATAAAATCAATATTTCATCTGGTGTCTCGTTTCATCGTTTTTCAGTCATTAAAGAAACAAACCTGAAGACCTCTTCCTGTTTTCATAACTTCTCATGATGTCCTCGCTACCACAACATTCTCACCTTTAAAGAGAAACTTTACAGGAAGTCCTTCCTTTTGCTGCAGCTTCGTGCTTCCTCTCAGGTGTTGAATGAAAATAGTTGATGCAGCCTGTCAGGTAAAACCCAGGGCGAACACAGTCCTCCTCTCTCACCTGGATCTCAGTCCCATTCATCTCTGTGGAGTCCCTCCTTCATGACACATCACTGACCTGTCTGTCTCTTTCTGTTGCCATGGTGACGATGTCCAGCTTTAAACACACCCTGAGGACAGCAGAACCTGTCACCTGATAAAAGCTCTGTGGGCCGTTCTCAAACTGTGGAAGTGTGTGTGGAGTGGTTTCAGAAAGGTCCTCCTCCTGCACCTGTACACCTGTTCTGTCTTGACACCATCGACTGTAAATATTACTTGACACACCGACTTACTTCCTGTTCCTGTCTGTTTTCTGTGGGAATGCTCCTTCAACATAAAGGCTTTAATTATTTATTTTCTTTGATTATCTGCCAAAGACTCGTCTCTTACTCTTGATAACATCATATCCTGTTACGCTCTGTCAACCTTTATTTCTTTCACCTTTTTTTATCATATTTTTTTAATGCTTTTATACTGAAAGAGTCTATAATGTAAATCTGCAGTTTCTTCAAAATAAAACTTTATTTCTTCCTCTGAGATTATTTTTCCTTGATGTTTGAGGCTCAATGAGCAGCTCAGTCTGTGATAACTCTTTATTCACTGAACACCTGAACACTGATACTCATTATTACAACAGAATAAAATAAACTGTCTGGATGTTTGTCCTCTAAGGGCCTCCATAGTCTAAACATGTTTCTTTGTATTTGTTTTCTTTAACAATTGAATATTTTCCACTTTTGTATTCCTACCTTTCGAGTACTTTTTTATTTTAAATGAAGCCTTGATATTTAATCTACTTGTTTTTCAAATGTTTATCAAGCAGCTTAAAATGAAGTTTATTTTAAACACTTAGTGTCGTCACGTCAAACATCTTTATTCGTACAAACAATCTGAGATCATTAATAATTAGATTAGTTACTTGTGATTAAAACGTATGTGAACACACTGACAGTATTTTGTTGTTGTTGAAAACTCGAAGCTTTCATAAGGCGCCAATAAGGACAAAGAGAGGCGGCATGAACAGTTTAAATGTTTCATGTTCGCCTTCCTATTGGTTACGTCGAAGTAGCGCCGAACCAATCGTAATAAGGCTCATGGAATAATGATATATTCGGGGAGGGGCTTTATGAGTGCCTCGTCTTTTGACCAATAGGAAGCCAGTATCATCAGAGATATGAATAATCATCACAAACGGGGCGTGGTTATGCAGTGTAGGTCGGGCGCGAAAGAAGATGGAGGTTTAGTGACTGTGTGGTAGAGCAGGAAGACACAGACAGAGTTTTATTTTCTGTTTTCCTTTGTTATACTTTGTTTTCTACACTCGGGCTCCGACATGGACATGAAGAAGAGAGTCAGCCAGGAGCTGAGGAACAGGAACCCCGCTGAGGTGTGTAACTTCAATTATTTATTTGTTTATTTCCTCCGGTCCGACACGGAGGAGAGACCTCCGGTCCGACACGGAGGACTCTCCTCCGGCAGCGGCGGGAGAAGCCCTGCGCTCCTTCCGTTAGCATCGAGCTAACAGGCTAACAGACGAAGCTGGCGCGCATCCAGCCCTCATGATCGCCCGGTGCTACGGATTACCGGCGAAGTGTCGGTGATGGTACCTGGTGGTACTAAGAAAAAAAACAACCTTCTTGTGCCTTTGTTGGTATCCGGTTGTTGTTTTTTAAATGAAACCCTCCCGCTCCACCGTCGGCCGTTTAGGCTTCCATTTTAACCTTCAGTGTGAAACAGTTATCCATGATGCTGGTTTTTAATGGCGCGTAATGCCGGACTCCGTTATCACATCCCGGCATTATGAACTAACTTAGTTACCGGTCAAAGCTGTCCATTGATACAGTGACTTTGAAGTAATAAAACACCTGTTCAGGTGCTTCTAGTCAGTTCGGCTCACATTATGTCAACCAGCAGTCCGTCATTTTGATTAGATATCACTTTTAATAGCGACTCTCCTTGCTGTTCCCGCCCACTCCGCCGTGTTTTCATGATGTAATTTACGACTGTAAAGATGTTTCACTCTGAGTGATTTAACATGAGGGTTGGTGTGTGTGGTGGGTTTTTGAATGTCCTAGAGGAACACGGATTAAAGCTAAAAGATGGAGACTGAAATGAATCTTCTCAGAGGAGTCTGGTGAAGAGTCACCTGAGTTTCCCTCCGTTTCTAATAAAAGTTATTACGACGTGAACGTGGAGGGTCGTGCTGTGTTCCTAACGTGAGATCCACACTAACAGCTGTTTGTGTGTGTGTGTGTGTGTTTCTGTCACTCATCAAAGAGTGTTTATTAAGTGAGATGTATCACTACATACAGGGGGCGGTACTTCCTGTTGTTGGACGGTTGTTGATCCATAACACTACATAATACTAAAGCCAGAGGTTTACAGTTGACAAAAGTTGTTTTAGGGTTTAGTTACTCTTTAATAGTGTGTATATATAAATATATATATATATATATATATATATATTTATTTTTTTTATACAGGTGAAGCTCACTTTTCAACGTTTTTAACAGAGTATTAGATGACTAGTCCAGGTGATAAATGTGTGGAATACGGACGATGCATATTAACGTTGTCTAAAGTGTATCTGAGTCTGTTTCTGTTTCTGGAGCTCCTGCTGTGACACTAATAGTGTGTGTGTGTGTGTGTGTGTGTGTGTGTGTGTGTAGGTGGTGGAGCTGGTGGTGGATAACTGTCAGTCAGCTGACGGCGAGGTGGAGGGTCTGACAGACGAGTACACGGAGCTGGAGATCCTCAGTATGGTGAACATCGGCCTCAGCTCGCTCTCCAAACTTCCTTCTCTGCCAAAACTACGCAAGGTCTGTCCTACCATTACTATTTCCCACAATGCAACAGGTTATTTCTGTCTGAAAGTGACAGGTGTGCCGACGTCTGTACCTGTTTAACCTGACGTGTGTGTGTGTGTGTGTGTAGCTGGAGGTGAGTGATAACATCATCTCAGGCGGTCTGGACACGCTGGCAGAGAAATGTCCCAATCTGACGTACCTGAACCTGAGCGGGAACAAGATCAAAGAGATGAGCAGCGTGGAGGTTCTGGTGAGTTTGACCCTCTGAGCAGGTGAGACGAGTCAGTCAGGTAGAGGTGAAGTTTGAAGGTGAAACCAGCGAGCTGAGATGAAGAGGAGGTCTCTGCTCGCTTCCAGTCGCACCCTGTTGCGGTTCGTTACCAGCGAGAACAAAATCAACACAGCAACCAGAACAGAGAGTGGATCAGGGCTCGACATTATAAGTGTCCTGCTGGCCCGGTTGAATGATTGACAGAGTCCAGCTGATTGCATGTTCAGCTGGCCCGCTCAGGTCAGTTCAAATACTGCCTGAAAAATAAAACAGACAGTAACACGTTCTGTTTTCTCTACTAAAACCCACGTTTGGTAAAACGGTTTTAAAACCATCAGATCCCGACAACAGTCGAGCTTAAATCAGAATTCAAAGAATAGAAATCCCTGTAAGAGTTGAGAGTGACAGCAGGGCAAAAACAGAACGGAGAAAAGTTTGATCCACAGTGACAGACAGCTGGAGGAGCTGGAACACGTTAAAGACTAGATCCTGGTAAAGATCAAAGTTATTCACAAAGTATCTTAGCCCTTAAGAGAGCTCCTAAAGTAAAGCTCTAAAGATGAAGAGTCTCTCACAGAGAAGAAAGAAGGAGAGATTCCAGATCTATCACAGCCTCATATTACCGTATTGGTCCGAATATAAGACGACCCCCGTTTTTCAACACTCATATTTAGAAAAAAAAGATTTGCAGACCAGATCTTGTTTTTGTAAAGAACTTTTTTTTAAAGAACTTCATTTTATTTGAAAATAACAATATTAAAAACACATTGAATTAAACACCTGTTGTATTAATAATTATAATAATAATTAACATACCGTATTTATCGGTATAGGCCTACGGCACTTTTCAAAACAAAGTGTTTCACAAGGGGGCGAACTATGTACAGTATGATTCAACATTAAAATCGATTAACAATCAAACAATATTATCAACATGTTTTTAACATTTTGAAATAACAGAAGAAATACAGGCAACGTTTTTAACTAAACTACCGCTAAACTAAAACTCTCCAAACTTCTCCTCCGATGTCTCCTCTCTATTCCTCACACACACACACACACACTCTGCCCGCTGTGTTCACTCTCGCTCTCATCGCTCCCCAATATTAAAAACACATTGAATTAAACACCTGTTGTTGTAATAATGATAACAATAATAAACGTAGGCCTATTTATCGTTATATGCTACGGCACTTTTTAAAACAAAGTTTTTCACAAAGTCAAAATCTGTACAGTATGATTCAACATTAAAATCAAGCAATATTATCAACATTTTTAAGTAAGAGAGAAAATACAGGCCACATCTTTAACTAAACTAAACTAAAGCTCGCCAAACTTCTCCTCCGATGTCTCCTATTCCTCACACACGTCCTCCGCCCCGCTGTGTTCTCTCTCACTGTCATCACTCCCCTGCTCCTCCCAGAGCGCGTCATGTGTGTTGACATTTAAAGGGACAGGCGAACAATTAGATCTGCGCTCTGAATACTAGACCCCGAATATAAGACGACCCGACTTTTTCGGACCTATTTCGATGGTGAAAAAGTCTGTCTTATATTCGGACCAATACGGTAATATCAGATTAAGTAGACTCTTACAGTTATCAGCATGGTGAATAAACATGAGCACATAAATATAAGAAAAATACACAATGTGTTTATAATTAGAGCTCAATTCATTAAATAAAAGTCTTAATTGACTTTTGAATCAGAATGGTTCAAGAGTAAATTGGTGACTGTTATTTTTCTAAAGTGATGTTCCTGGGCCTGCGACCTTTGAAAACTAGTGGGCCGGAGGGTCAAGCCCTGGTTGGATCAGTAGTGATCTCAGCTGTTCCTCACAGCAGCAGAGCTCCATGTCAGTCAGCTGCTAACAGATCAGTCATTAAGCTAACAGGCAGTCTGGACTACAACTGATAATCAGCATAGAAATAGCCACATGTGTGTACCATCACGTGTGTGTGTGTGTGTGTGTGTGTGTGTGTGTCTCTCTGCGTGTGTGTCTCTGCGTGTGTGTCTCTGCGTGTGTGTCTCTGCGTGTGTCTCTCTGTCTGATTGTGTGTGTGGTCTCTCTGTGTGTCTCTCTGTGTGTGTCTGCGTGTCTCTGTGTGTGTCTGCGTGTCTCTTTGTGTGTGTCTCTCTGTGTGTGTCTGCGTGTCTCTGTGTGTGTCTGCGTGTCTCTGTGTGTGTCTCTTTGTGTGTATCTCTCTGTGTGTATCTCTGCGTGTCTCTCTGTGTGTGTCTCTTTGTGTGTATCTCTCTGCGTGTGTGTGTCTGATTGTGTGTGTGGTCTCTCTGCGTGTCTCTCTGCGTGTCTCTCTGTGTGTGTCTGTCTCTGTGTGTCTGTGTCTCTGTGTGTCTGATTGTGTGTGTGTGTGTGTGTCTCTGTGTGTCTCTGTGTGTCTGTGTGTGTCTCTGTGTGTCTGATTGTGTGTGTGTGTCTCTGTGTGTCTGATTGTGTGTGTCTGTCTCTGTGTGTGTGTGTGTGTGTGTGTGTGTGTCTGTCTCTGTGTGTCTCTGTGTGTCTGTGTGTGTCTGTGT